GTAGAAATCAAAATGTTACAGCATGTGTCCATGCTGATTTAGGATGCAGACTACCCTGCTGTTCTACTATCTATACTAGCTTTTCCTGCTGTGGAAACACCCCAGTTAATTGTGGAATGGTGGCAGGTCATAAATCATGGTGAAGGCAGCATGAGTGGTACTGATTTGGCTGCTAATATCAAACCCCTGCTTTCTGTGGCTAACTACAGAGTATGCATCAGCTGGCAGAGTACGGGATGTAGTTTCTGTAGTTCATATATGGGTTTTATGTCAAGCAAACAGATACAGCCTAGCTTCACAAAGATGAAGTGCTGAGAAAGGGGCATTGAGTTTAAATCCATCCTTTCTTGCAAACTAGAGGGGGAGTGCAAAGCAGCAGCATGCCTCTCAAGGGCAACAGTCTCATCTGTGGGAATCTGTGCTGTCTCCAGAGAAGCTCCCTGGAAAATGTAACACAGGGCTTAATGCCTATTTATCCATTAGCTTGTTCCCAGAGCTCTTCTCCATCTAGGCCTAACTTAAACCAGTGAAGAGCCTTGTTGAAACTGCTTTTTTTTCTTTTCTTTTGTGCTTTTCTCTCATTCTGCAGAGTACAGAGCTGACATTACTACCCACATGCTTAGCAGTGCTGCTGCTGTAATGGATGACGTGAGTGCCTAAATGCACTCAGAATACAGGAGTGGGATGAAGCCATTTTTAGAACAACATGCTATTTTCTTTTTTAGTGCTGACTCATTCACTGTACCTTGTGGTATGTTTACCTTGATTGCTTGCTGCTTTGCAGGCTGTTGAATGGCTGAGGGAGGAATATTAATCAGGGACACGTAGCACTGTGCTCCAGAACTTCCGTAATGGTGAGTGCTATGCTCTTGCCTGTCTTTTGGCTTTATTGTAGAAGTTACTTTTCATTAACTAGCATTCCCAGGTTCTGGAAACAGTAAGCAATACTTTTAAGTTCATCGTTTTAGCACAGCTATCTAGTTCATATCCAGATTTTCTGTTGCAAATCTTTGCTCCTCACCAGTACTCATATCAGAGTGAAATTAATCAAAGTCATTGCACTGTATACATGTTGAACCTAATTAGCCAAAACAGCTGATGAAGACAGAAGAGATCTCACAACTAATTTATCTTTTTCTTAACATATTTTTTAGTATTAAAACTAAAATGACGTGCAAACCAGTAGCATCTCCTATAGCTAAAACTATACAAAAGTGTGCTTTACTGCATGTGTGATCTACTGCATGTGTGATTCTGCCTGCTGAGTGAGATGACACAAGTGTTTGGTGCCCAGAAATGCATTTGTAGCTCAATTTGTCTGCATTCAAAACAGAAACTAAAGGCCCATACATAAAAACTATTGTAAATCATTCACAAGAATCTGATAAATGCCATTAGTGACAAATGGCTTCTCTCTGCTTTTGTGGTGCTAGTTGACCCCCTGGTTCATGTTACAGCAAAGCAGATTTAACAATGAGCTGGAGCCCAAAGGGACCTCCCACTCATCCTGTCTCCCTTTTCTCTGCATGTTCTCATCACCTCTACTGCAGCAAGAGTGATGAATGTTGGATCCGAGCTTCAGGGGAGAAAAATAATCACTATTTTATACAGCTTTATTTCTACGAATTTAGTTCTTTGAAATTGTCTACTTTAGGGCTAGATGACCACTCAAGCTGGAACAAAGCACATTGACTGAATCACCTCTAACTTACAAGAGCATACTCCCCACCTGCTTTCAACTCTAGGCCATGAGGCATGACTTAAACATATAACATGCAGACACCTTCAAAACCTCTTTTCTCATCTCCTTCTTTCAGGTATCTGTGAATTTGGTAGAAGCTCCCATCTTAGAAATTCTTTAGAGTTTCAATTTTAAGGAAAACACAGCTCAATAATAACTGTGGAAGACAAAATGGAAGCCCAGAAACACAACACACAAATCATGGTCTCAAGCACAGGCCTAAGACACCGCCATCGTCTTCCAGTTTGGGACTCTGTATACCAAAATTATCCAGTGGAAAACAGAAGTAGTAATATTTTCTACAGCTGTTGAAAGAAAAAAATAACAAGATCAGTATATTGAAAAGTGAGTTGTCTACAGTGAAAATATATAAACCTAGGCAGCAGAATAAAAGTCTAAATAATAAGAATAAGGTCTAAAATTTCACAGCTTGCCTTTAAAAAGAATTTAAAAATATATAGCTGACATCACTCAGGAGGAACGTCTTTTAATATTGTGTTTTGTAATGCTCTAAACACAGATCCTGTGAAAGCCCTGGGGTTTTATGCTAATCTGTTCACTTGTGCACCTCAGGGAAATCTGCTGTTGTATAATCAACTTCATAATCCATTGAATTCTCATTGCTGGCTATTCTGGAGCAAGGCAGTAAACTCTCCTGGCTTGTTTCTCTACCTCAGTCAGTTTCTGAACGTAATAATTATTTTTACTCAATCATTATTTAGTGATGCTTCTTCTACTGCCATATGAAAAGTTAAATATCCCTCCTTAGTTTTGCAGATAAAGTAATTGAAGTGTGCAGCAATTAACAAACTATATTTCCTAGGTCACAGAGAAAGTTCATGGCGGAGCTAATAATGGGACTTACATCTCTAGTCTTAATGATTACAGTGTGACAGCACAGCATCCCTTAAAGTAGAAGTTTCAAAACTAAGCATTTAGTTATGACATTGACAGAAGAGGGTCCCTTCAATTTGTTTGCTGATCTTCTGCTAGTGAGTAAGCCACTCACTCAACTGGAAGGATATCTATACGGTATGTTCATATTCTAAAGAACATATATTTTATTTTAATATTTTCAAATGAGAATATTCCTGTTATAGAATTCCTGGTATTATTGCTTTGGACATAACTATAGATTCTTTATTGTAATAACAGAGCACTTGAGTCTTAACAAATTTATATTATAGGATCCCTGTGAACAGGGAATGGCTACTGTCTTATTTTTAAAGGGGCTTAAAAACAAAAATTCACATTTCCTAGATTTTAAGCGGCATGAACCTACCAGTTGATGAACCTTCCTAATTACTGGATGAAAAGTCCTTTCATTAGTCATCTCAATTTACACAAAGCATAAAACAATCAGTCTGCAAAAAAAAGTGATTTTCTGCTCCTTGAACTTGCCATGGGACTTGGTCTAAAGCTGAGCAATAACCAAGTTAGTTTGCAAACTGTGTTTCATGTTCACTTGAAGATGCTGATATAAGTTGGGAGTAAGGAGAAGGCCCATGAAAAGTAAAAACTGGTCGCTTTTGCAAAGAAAAATGGGACATAAAGAGAGGGGAAGAAGAATCAATGAAACAAGATGGGAAAGAAAGCACAAAACCCAGCAGAGATACAGAGGGATCAGAACTTTCCATGTGGGAGTATGTCATGGTAAGGAAAAATCTAGCCGTACCTAAACTGCTCTAGAATGTTGGAGCTGTACATGTGGTTTTAGAACACAGACACAAGTGGAAGTCTCTGCACAGGATGCACTTCCAGTTCTGGCTCATTGAGTTGGATTAAAAACTTCCAGGGAAGTGAAGGCTGTTTTACATACATGAGAACTGTACTTGGATATGATAAAATATCACAGCTGCTAGTCTAAATTGGAATGAATTTGCATAGTAATGCTACGAGGGTTGCAATTTCTTCATTTTCCTTTCTCTGCAACAAGGAACTTTCCCTATTTCAATAGGGAAGATTGATTCTGGATGTCTGCATATGAATTTGAAAAGATCTGGCTCTTCAAGTGTGACTCATTACTATTGGAGCCCTATTGCTCAGAGAGGAGAGAGCTCTGCACAGCAGTAACACCGTCGTTCTAGTCTGTTTGCTGGCTTCTGCAGAGCCCACAGGAACTGTAAATCTCTAAATACATACATCTGGAGTGGAGATTTGCCCATGTTAATGGGAGATTCAGTTTAGTTCTGGAGCAAGAGAATTTGCTTAAAAAGAAATAAAAGAGAAAGTACTCAGTACTCAGTGCAGGCTTTGCAGGCCGTGCTTGTAAAAATACCTGAGGCAATATTTATATACTACATTTTTTCCAGTGGCTAAGCTAGCTGAGGAAGTTCTCCTCCCAGCTACTCCCCCCTTTCTGCTCTGCTTCCGCTGCAGTTCTCTGTACACCCTGATGTGCTAACGCCACTTGTCACGGGACTGTGCTGGACTGAGGCAATGTAAATGATGTCTAAAGAAGGTATTTTGGAAGCTATTTTTAAAACCCACATCATTTTAAGATCCAGATGATCCCGCAGCATCACAAATGGCTATATTAGTATGACTTTGGAGTGGCAAATGGCAGCAAGCAGCAGGTATAAGAGTTTAAATGCAAGTGGGAGCTTCTTGATTGCTGCTAGAGAAAACAAATGTGCAGAACACCACCACAAATAGTCTGAGTGCCAGGCCTAAAATATAAAACTCCCTGAAGTACCCATGTAACTTTTAAAAAGGATTATTGTATGGTCTCAAAAGAGGCTCATTTCCATACGATCTTGGGTGACCTAATCACTAAAAGGAAGTTTGTGAGTAATTGTCATCACGACAAAGCAATCGAGCACACCAGTAGCATTCTCCTATTACTTACAAAAACCCAGAGAAAAGGAATAAAATAACAAAAAAAGGAGATTCCACACAGCATGTTTTTAAAACCACTCATTCAGGGATGTATTTGAAACACTTCCTAGCCCCCAGACTGCTTGGAGAACTTCCCCATTTTTAGTCTGACATATAGATTTTATTAAGACGTTCAGTGTGAACTCCAAAGACGAAAATACATCCACTGACCTTAAACTAATTCATATCACACCAGCTTTACAGTTTTTAATCTGTGCCCTATAAACAAAACCAAAAGCTAGGGTTTTCTCACTTGCCCATCAGGTGAGCCATACAGGTACTCTTTGAGAGATATGCAGATTACCCTTGTATTTTTACAATGACTATGGCGTAAACTGTAACGCTTTTCTCATTGCAAGTCCTAAGAAAGTCTTCCTCTTACCTGAAGGTAATGGCACGACCTCAAGGAAGGTTTGATTTCCTGATGAACCAGAGGCTTATCTAAGTTCAGTGACGACTTGCGATAAGCTTCTTTAGCCTGACTTACTGTAAGCGTGGACCAAGAACTCCTTTTCATATATTTACTATCAGGGGTCATTGCTAGCCCTTCACAAGCTGAACACTTCACGTCATTGTTACTTTTGGAAGTCTTCAATGAAAGATCCCCAAAATGCCCCTGGAGTGCCTCAGGATAGCAATGGGATATATGATCTGCATGGTGCCTATTTACCACACTAGGGGTTCGGTAAGTGCTATCACTGTCCAAATTATCATCGGAGCTCCACCAGCTGCTCATTCCAGATTTATGTTTGCTTTCTGGTTTGCGCTCTTTACTTTTACTCCTTTTGCTATGCTTGGAATGGTGCCCGTGATGATGGTCGTCCCCTCGACCGTCTCCCTTTGTTCCATTAACGTTGCCCTTGGATGATCCTTCCAGAGAATGAGATTTAGTAAAAAGTTTCTGGACTGAATGAACGAGATGGCGTATTCTTCCTGGGCTCTCACTGCGCTGTTCCGCAGCTGTTGAGGTCCTCTGGTACTGTAAAGTGTGAAACCCATCCCGGTGAAGAGGAAGCTGTTTCTCAAACTGGTCCAAAAGGTTTGCGGGAATACGGTTAATCTTAGGGTTCCCGTGAGACATGGCGCAGTCGTCTCTTGAGTCGTAATGTGAGCTGTAGTGCATTCTGGGGAAAGTGCTACTTGACATGTGATCGCCCATTACCATGGGCATCATCATGCATTCAGAATGAATGGAGCTGCGTGGCGAGCAACGATGGTGGTCCATCGGGCAACTCTCCGTGGGGCTGAGAAGATACGATTGCCTTGGCTCCTGCCCATGGTGGATATGGTCGTGGGTGTGTTCGCAATCTTCAGGGGATGCTAAGCCACAAGTATGAGCTGAACATAACTGTGGTTGGTTGCGACTACCAGATAATCCTTTCATATTCCTCGAAGCAGGAGAGTATCTTTCTTCATTGAAGTGCTGAGAAGGCGACCATGAGTACTGCTGGTCTGTCAGGAGAACACACAAAACCCATGTTAAGTGTCTGATTAAAAGGTTAACTTGCAAAATCCAGGTATATGGCATTTTTTTCTCTATGATCTTGATGAATTGTCTCACTGTTCAGGGCATTTAATTCACCATTTTAAAACTGATTAAAATTCCTCACTATGAGCAAATGATGAGATGAATGTAGCCTACTTCCTGTTCGCAAAATTGTCTGCTAGCAGTTCTAAATTTTATGAAGATATTCATTATGCAAATTTACTCAAATAGATTCAATGTACACATTCAAGTATTCAGTTTATTATTTGATATTTGGAATTAACAAATCAAGCTTTGTGGCTAGTTATTTAAGCTACATGGGTCTAGTTTCTATTCCTATAGTTTCTCAGTTGGATATCTTAACCTAAATGTATCATTTTTCTATGGAGCCACTTTTGTATCACAAATTGAAATTGATTTTCTTAAATGAATCTTGGTTTCAGATCCCAAATTCACTATTCCTAAACATAAATAATAAACAGCAGAGAAAAAGAATATGAACGTACTGAAATGAAGCTTAGTTTTTAAATCACTAAACAGTTTATGAATAAGCATTTCATGCAATTTGAACATCTGTTATCCTTAGTCCAGAAGTGTTACTGCTATTCCCATATGTGTAAAATCTGTCTATTTCCTAAAAAGGGCAGTTTTTCCCTTTATATGTCCAAATTATATTTTTTTTTATTTAACAACTCTGTGTTGTTCTTGATAAAACACATATCTGTAAGTATTAGCTACAGGTTTTTAGCTTCTCAATTATTTGTTCCTAGGAATCACTTGAAGTTGTGGTTATTAAACAAGCATGATTACTAAATAAGAGCAGCTTGTAAGCAAAGGCTTTGATACTCAAGCCTTTGATTTTCTTTTTCTCTCATGCAATTTCTTGCAGCTGTCAAATGCTACAAACAGAAAATTAACAAAGCCAGAAATGCTTCAATTTGATTTTTTTGCATTCACTTTCCCTCTTCAATTTCAGCTTATTTAAGCAACATTTCAAAAGCAGACAAAGCTGTAGGATGCAAGAAAACCCTTTAGAAGATCAGACAGATGCATAAGTGTTTATACAACCCACTTAGCACGGTCTTTCTGCAAATTTGCTCTAAAGAATCTAAATTATCTTGCATAAGTGCTTGATGCAAGGAAGTTTAAGGCCTCAACCAGAATGGAAGCCAGAGAGTATGTACTTGTTATATATAACAACATAACTGGGCACTGGGGCCCAGCCCATAGAGATAACACAGAACCCAACAGCACTTTGAGGGGTTTCTACGTATATGACAAAACTCTCCTAAATCATATTCCCGCTACTGGTGAAAAATCAGTGCCTGGTTATGGTCATGAAACAGATCAATACCCATATCTCTTTAATTTTATTCAACTAATAAGTGTTATGTCATGATATCTTTACTACAGAATGTAATTTGTTGCAAGTCTTTAGCATCAGCAATCCCATAAACTAAATGCTCTGAATTTCCTAAAAGGGAAAGCTTAAATAATTTTATTACATCCTAATTTCAATAGAGCTCCACATAATGTTTTAAAATGAACGTTAACATTAAACTAGTAAACAATAAAGTGTTCTTCATCCTAGGCACAGGCCTGCCACGTTAAAGTCAAAGACGGATTTAAGGGTCCAAATGTCACCTCTAGACTTTATCATAGTGTGAAACTGATGTATTTGTCCATGTATCCTTTTCTGCTTCTATTTTGGTTTTCTACCAGTTTCTTTTACTTAATTATTGGCTATTTTCACATTAAAATAAAAAATTATTACTGTTGATTACTGAGTCTGTTGTACTATTTAGGTTATAATACCCCGCATAAATGTAGTTATAAAAAGGAAATACAATTCTTTCTCTGAAATAACATAATTTTGATTATCCAATTAAAAGTACAGCTATATAGAGAGAAGGTAGTTTTATAACAGTGCATTGAGATTCAGCCACATAAGTAGCACTGTAATTAATGGTACTTAACCCAATATATTACCAAACATTATCAAGGGAATAATAATGGTCCATGTACTGAACTTAGTCTGTGCTTCCCGTAAAGGGTTCCCAAAGCATGTGACAGAGATTACTGCATTAGTTCTTACAACTCCAGGAGATGTGGAAGGCACTGTTCTCCTTTTACAGAAAAGGAAGCTGGAATACAGGCAATATTTTCCAAAGTGCTCATGGATTTGCTGATTATCACTTTAACAGTGGTATGAGCCAGAGGGAGGTGGAAGGAGACTCTTCCATCAAACTGACAGCACCATGAGAGTCAACTCTGAGTGTTCTCATCACGATCCTTTGGATGAAGGTACCTCTTGTACTATGTCTCACCAATGCATTAAAAAAAAAAGCAAAACAAACCCCAAAACAAAGCAAAGGCAGGCCATGGCAGAGACCCACAATGAAAGAAAGTTAGACAGGATTAAGAAACTAATTTAAACGAGTTCCCTAGCACAGTACTGCTAGTCCCTGGTGATTACTTCAGGCCTCACACAGAATCAAACATAGCCCAGAATGCTCCAAACATTTTCATCCTGTTTCATCCCTCAGAATATGAGACATCATGATTTGATTGCTCTGCAATGGATAATCCAGCAACAGATTTTCCACCCCTCAAGACTCCCTGTGATTCTAGCTCAGTGCATCTATAGAAAAATCCTATTTTCTGTACATTTCTTTCACAACCTTATAGCATTTTATGTGCCTCATGGACTATCTGAGTTTTGTTTGTTTGTTTGAAACACAGCAGTTAGAAACTGCTATAGACATTTAATAAGCATAATCAATAGAGAGCAACTGATACTAGATAAAGTTCTACATGTGCATCATCTAAATCTATCACTGCAATTATGTTCGCGCTTTGCTTGTGACATTGGACCTGTTCTGTGTCCAAGGAACTATTACTTCTTTTTACAGATCTCCTGAAAACCTTCAAAATTTTGCATTATAATATATAATTTTTTCAAATCATCTGTTCTTTGTACTATTCAGTTATCTTTGTTCACGAGGTCTGTTTCAGGGCTCGAAGAAACAGTTGAGCTATGGCTGAATGAATTACTATATGGTACCAGACCAGTCTAATTGACCATGTGCTAAGGCTCTTAGCCTGCCAGAAATGAAAAGAAAAATGTGTTAGCTTAAAATTCAATTAAGCTAACATGCTTTTCTAGCATTTGCAAGGGGCTGAAAGTGTGTCTGTGGTCAATGTTCACAGCTCAGCTGATTCATAAAAAATCATAAAGCTATATAATTTTTTTCTCTCAATCTGTTAAAAAGAAATTTAAGATATTTCTATAATAAAATAATGCCAGATTTATTGAATAATGAGAAATCTGACTGGAATTTTAGTCTGTGTCTTGAAGATAATGATACCTAGAATAAAACACAAGTTGTACAAGTTTGGTTTGTTGTTGTGGGTTTTTTTTGTTTGTTTGTTTGTTTGTTTTGGTTTTGGTTTTTTTTTTTACAGCAGCTCTGGTATTTTCTTAGGGTAATCACTCTAAAAATATAAAAGTAATTCAGGATGCTAATGTCTACCCCTTTAAAGAAAGTGTCATAATCAGAATCAAAGACCTGAAAGGAAGCAGAAGAACAGATAACCCAAAGCAGAGAGAGGAATAGGAACAGAGAGCACAAAGATGGCCTTTTTTTAGGTTACATCAGAGCAAAATGGAATCTTTCCATTGATTTCAACAGACAGTAAGACAAGACATAAAGACTGTGTAGGGGACCTAGATCAAGACATGGCTGTTATGTCAGAGATAATCCAGTGGTTCTAAAATCCTGAATATCCCTTGAAGCTTTTTTCAGAGTCTACTGTTCAGAGAAGTCAATCTTTAACCTTGACAGATTTTCTGCATTCCTTCCTGGCCATATCAACTCTTTCTTTCCTGCTTTCCCTCCCCTGTTTTATCTTCCAAATTTTCTTATGCTAAGATAGTTGTTCTCTCACTCAAAGCAGATGTAGCAGATGTTAGTTTGCCTGTCTCCAGGGACGGTCATGATATTCAGAGCATTCAAGCTTCTTCCTTGTGCCAGTCAGTATCAAGGGAAGAAAGAGGCTTAAGGATCAGGAATACTGTTTGAATTCCTGCTTTCCCTCCCCTGTTTTATCTTCCAAATTTTCTTATGCTAAGATAGTTGTTCTCTCACTCAAAGCAGATGTAGCAGATGTTAGTTTGCCTGTCTCCAGGGACGGTCATGATATTCAGAGCATTCAAGCTTCTTCCTTGTGCCAGTCAGTATCAAGGGAAGAAAGAGGCTTAAGGATCAGGAATACTGTTTGAAATAATGAATTAATGTTCTAGGGTAAAAGGGCTAAAAACCTCTACACAATGAAAAGAAAGGGCTGTGCATCTCTAGAGTTCCTAGAACATTACTCTTTGCTAACGATAATCGGTGTAAGAGCACTGGCACTCTCTCAGATTTTCAAAAGAAGCGCATGTCTCCACAGATCTTTTTGTGTGTTATATACACTGAGAGCAAGCTTTTGGAGCATAATAATAATAATTCCTGGAACTACTAAGTGGTGCCTGATTTTTGCTTTTACTTTTTCATTTATCGCAAAGCACGTCTTTTTTAATGATAAATTAATTTAAATTCTTTTAACCTTATAAACTTCATAAACTCCTTACCTCTCTGAAACTTTCGTGCTGTTGTCATTGGAGAAGAAACAGCTGTTTTGCGTAGTATAACCAGTAAAATTCATTGCTGAAAAGAGATGCCTAATCTAGCTTTCAAAAAGATGTGGTATAGAAACCAGACAGCTGAATTGTGCTGTTTCACTCAGTTCAACTAATCCTGCAATGTATTGTAAAAAAAAAATGCTCACAGTTTAACTTATAACTAATACAAATATTAAATAGCATAAAGCCAGGTGTATTGATCAAGTATATATTAAATATTAAAATGCATAAATAAAAAACTTTAGCTGGAGATTTCTCTGCCCAGGGACTGCAGTAAGTAGCATT